GGAAGAAAAAAAGAAATGAAATGAAAGGAAAGCTCGGGAAAGAGACCAGAGGCTTACATGGAGACACGATACAGCCATGAGGTCAATGGTCAGCCATCTGCAGGAGCTTTCTTTTTTTTTTTTTTACTTTTAGGCAATTGGGGTTAAGTGACTTGCCCAGGGTCACACAGCTAGTAAGTGTCAAGTGTTTGGCCTGGTGTCGGATTTGAACTCAGGTCCTCCTGACTTCAGGGCCGGTGCTCTATCCACTTCGCCACCTCGCTGCCCCAGGAGCTTTCTTTTTGCAAAAAGGTGGAACTGGTTTCTGGAGTGAAAATGATGGAGACTCAGAGGGAAGCAACAGCATCCTCTGGGCATTTGGGAGGGAGCTGGAAAGGAGAAGGGGCAGGGTCTGACAGGAATCCTCCACTTTGGGGGAGTGGATTTCACAGGTTTCCAAATCAGAGTAGGGGCAGTCCCATGGATTAAGATGGAAAATGCTAAAGGAACAGGAGACATGATATACTCTCAAGACAGAAACTCTAAAGGTTCAAAGAAGAATCCCCCAGAGTTGGAAAAAGAGAAGGTGTTTGAAGAGACTGATGTGAGTGTCCAGGGAGCTCACCAGCCAACCCACTGAAATCCTAAAAAGGCACTTCTGGAAAAGAGGCACAAAGACAGGTGAGAGTCTGAACACAATAGCATAGCTCGGGCAATAGCGAGAAGGCCCCCGTTGGGAGCAGGAGGATCCCAGGGGGATAGCACTGATGCTCAGGGTGGAAGAGACAATGGCAGATGGTGACAGAGGGAAGGCACAGCTGCTCAGGTGTTACTCTCCTCTTTCCTCAGCCAGGGAGAATGACCTTTGGGCAGAACAAACACGTGGCTGCCCAAGCTCATGCATGCCCTCGCCTCCCCAGTGGGCACAGGCTCTGGTGGTCTGTGGCCCCTTGTGCTACACTCACATCCAGCCAAATGGGCCTGAGCTACTCCCTTCCCCCAACTCAGCTGGCCCTCTCTGCTCCTTTACTCCCATCATACCGTCTGCCTGGAATACCAACAGTGAAGAAGAAGAAGAAGAAGAAGAAGAAGAAGAAGAAGAAGAAGAAGAAGAAGAAGAAGAAGAAGAAGAAGAAGAAGAAGTAATTATAGTACGCTAATATCTATGTAACACTCTGTGGTTTGCAAATCACTTTGTATCCATCCATCTATCTCTGTATATCTCCATCTATTCATCTATTTCTATCTTCATCTATGAATCTATATATTGATCTCCATTTACCTTCATCTACATATGTATGCACGTGTCTATCTATCTATATATCTATGTATCTATGCACATGTGTATCTATGTGTATGTATCAATGTATGTATCTTTGTGTATGCATGTATCTAAGTGTGTATGCATGTTTTGATGTTTCTATCTGTCTATGCGTCTATGTGTGTATGTATCAATGTATCTGTCTATGTATCTATGCATGCATGCATGTATCTATGTGTGCATCTATGTATCAATATATCTATCCGTGTGTATGTATGTGTATCAATCTATGTATCCATGTATGCACATATCTATGTATCAATGCATCTATCTATGTCTGTATGTCTGTATCCATATATGCATGCATGCGCATGTATGTATATGTATGCACACATGTATCAATGTATCTATCTATGCATGTATCTATGTGTGTATGTGTATCAATCTATGTAGCCATGTGTATGCATATATCTATGTATGTATCTACGCGTGTATGTATGTATCAATGTAACTATCTATGTATGTGTTGACATATCTATCTATCTATCTCTCATGCAATTCTCATAACCCCGGAAGGTAAATGCTATTACTATTCTCCTTTTCTAGAGGCAACAAGTGGGTGAGTGACTTGCCCAAGGTCACAGCTAGCAGCCCAGGGTCTGAGGCAGGCTTTGAATGCAGGTCTTCCTGAGACCCAGCCCAGCAGTCTGTGGGGGGCAGCAGGGGGCTGCCTGTGAGCCCCCTAGGCCCTGCCTCTGTGGTGCCCCAGTCCCGAGTGGGCCTTCCCTTCTTCAGGTTTCAGGGAACTCTTTTGGGGCCCCTCTGCCTGGCTGTCACTGTCCAGGTGATGTCTCAGCTTGTCCACGGGGCAGCTTCCTCAAGGCCGGTCCTGGGGCCTTGGCCATGGCTCGCGCTCAGTCAGTGTCTGATGACTTGAATGCTGGGCCTTCTGCCTGACCCAGGAATCCGTCTGACAGATGCACTCGGGCACAGGTTGGTGCATGGGTGGTGTGACCCTGGAGTCAGGGGAAGCCCGTCGAGGCCCCTCTTGTGTGTTTCCTTGGTTCTATTTTCTCAAAATGGTGCTCCGGCTGGCCTGGGTCCCACTACACGCATATGCAGAACTGAGCATGGCAGCTCTCCACGGGCCCATGTTCCACATTCTGGGGTCCTGCGGTTTGGCTGAGGTGTACAGTCCCAACTTCCCACAAGGCCAGGCGTCTACTTCTTCTTCCCTCTGTCCCCAGGCACCATCCTTAGCCCTTTGGCCCAGGAAGTGACCAGTGCCTGGTGGTGGGAGGCCATCCCTGCAGCCTCAGGCTCAGGCCCTTTGGCCAGACTGAACCAGAAATGCTACACCAGGGTGGAGATGCAAATGATTACCTGTTGAGGGACAGGAGCCCCACATTTGGAGCCAGAGGACCTGTATGATCTTGCCACATTCCTCCCTGCTGTCTGGGCCTCAGTTGCCCCCCTCTGTCAAATGAAGGGGTTGAGTCTAATGAACTCTGAGATTTCTCCCAAATTTGAACTCCTCTGCTTTCCCAGTCTGCCTGGAGCTCTAGGGCCAAGTGGGGAGCCAGGGATTCTGACCCAAATAGAGAAGGGTCATTGGGATATCTGGCAAAGTGCCTGCTGACTGTCCCACCTCTGACACCATGGATCAGCCTCTTGGCTGGGCGTCTGAGAGAGGGACTGAGGCTCCCACAGAGAGACGTCATCCGACCTCTGACCTAATCCAGTCATCTGTCATCTCCTCTTCAGGCTGGCCCCCAGCCCCTAGCCTGGATCTCTTCAGGTATGGGGAGCTCACTGCCTCACACGGGAAGGAGGCAGTGTGCTTCTGGCTGGTTTTGGGGCTTGTGTGAAGAGGGCCAGGCCCTGCCTCTCCCCCAGCCCGGTGTGACTGTTTGTCAAGGATGAGTCTTCTCAACAAAGCTTATCAAGTGCAAACAGAGGTTGGGCTGGGCATTGTAGGGAAGGCAGGCCACCCAGCCCCCACTTCCGAAGGCAAACAAGCCTGGCTTCTTCAGTGGAGACATCTGTGTGTGCTGAGCATCCCCGCCCCCACACCAGGGAAGGTGCTCTCCACTCCAGAGCAGCTGCAGGCTGGACTTCTGGCTGCCTCTGGTCTCTGTAGGAATGGGTGGGCAGCTGCCAGGTGTGCCAGGGCTCTGTAGGGAGGTGGGGAGGGTCAGAGCTCCGGTTCCATTCAGCATGGGGCCATCCAGGCTGGAGCAGGGCAGTGCTATGCTCAGGAGAGCTGGGTGCAAAAGCCAGCTCCATGCTGTACCAACCCTGGACAAGTCCTTCCCGAGCCTCCACTTTCTACTCTGTAAAATGTGGACAAGTCCCTCTGTGGCTGGGCTGGAGGCAGTGATGATGATGTGAGTAGGTTCTGCCCTCATGCTCCTGATGAGCAGCCTGCCTGAAGGCCTCAGTGACAGAAGCCCTTCATCTCCCTTTGGAGCTGGGTCGGGGCTGGACCCTGAGAGCCCCAGCCCAGGGAGTCAGCCGTCAGGGACCGGGAGGAGTGTATGCAGGGGAGAGGGCCTCTCGGGACTTGGCTGCCCTGGGTTCTGCTCCTGCTGCAACAGGGCATCGTTTAGGTCCACTGCGGCTTGGTCTTCTTATCTGTGCATCTTTTTTTGGGGAGGACAGGAGGCACATGGGGGTCTCAGATCCACTTCAGCTCAAAATCACAGTCTGAGCATCCCTTCTGTCAAATGACATCAGCCAGGGCCACGGGTGGGGCTGTGGCCAGAGGCTGAGCTGGGCTGGGGGTCGGCCTCTAGGACCTGGGCCTCAATAGACCCAGACTCAGGTACCTACATAGGCCACAGGAGGACCAAGGCCTGGTTCACTGACCAGGGATCCAGGATTTGGCTACAGGCCTCAGGAACTAGCCTCACCATCCTTCCTGGCTATCAATGCCAAGTCACTTCTCAGATGTGCGTGTCTGTACTGCCTGGCAGCCTGGCTCCTTAGGGACTCCCCTCCTGAATGTCTCTCCTCCCCTCCAAGCCCCTGGGGCTGGAGGGTCTCCCTTGCCCCCCCCCACCAAGCCCCTGGGGCTGGAGAGGGCTGGTGGGTAGAGAAGAGCCTCTAACAGCCACATTTTGTCTTAAAGTGTGCTCCCACAACACCAGCTGCACGTAGCTCCCTGACTGGAAAGTTCTGCAATGAAAACTGATTTTGTTGGCACAAGGGTGTGCCCAGCCTGGCTTCTTTTGCCCAGGAAGGCCCAGTGTGCCCTCAGTGAGGAGCTCTCTAGGCCCTGCTGCCCACCTCTCCTGACCACCAGGAGCGGGTTTCCCAGAGGGGCTCAGCCTCCCATATACCATCACCTGCTGGGTGCCTTTGGGCAAAGGGCTTACCTTCTCTGATCCTCAGCTGCCCTGGCTGTCAGCTAGGGTGGTTGGACTAGATGGTTTCTAAGGAGAACCTCCTAGCTCCCAGACCTATGTTCTGAGGGCCCTCCCTGCCCTGACATTCCATGAACTATGTTCTAGGGTGCCTCTCAGTTCTGACATTCCATGTCCTATGTTCTAAGGGCCCTCCCTGCCCTGACATTCCATGCCCTATGTTCTAGGGTGCCTCTCACCTCTGACATTCGATGTTCTGAGGACTCACATGCATGTTCAGGGTCAAACATGGTGCTGTGGCCTCACTCTCCTTTCCTTCCACCCTGCCCCTCTCCCGGAGTCAGAGGAGAGATTGTATCTGGCCCTGGTGCCCACAGGGCACCTGCGACACTTACCATCTGGAGAACCCCGGAGTAGGACATGAGGTACCCGGCTTGTGCGGCCTCCAGCTCGAAGAAGTTCATGGAGATGATGGAGAACATGATCATAAACAGCCCTGGGGAGCAGGGGAGGCCAGTGAGGAGCTGGGCTGGGAGGGAGGCTGGGGGAGGCCTCTAGGACCGAGGGGAGAGTCCGGGCCTCTCACAGCCACCAGAGCCCTCCCTCTCCTCACAGCCTCTCTGGGCAATGCAAGCATTATTATCACCCCCTTTTCCAGAGGAAGAAACTGTGACCCAGAAGGGAAAGGCCTTGCCCAAGATCCATCCCTTAGTGGCAGCCATGGAACAGAAAGCAGAGCTGCTTCCTCGAGGGAGAGTCTACACCTGCCCTGAGCAGGAGGTGTCCACTTCTTACCTGCAGACCTCCAGAAGGGAAGGGAGCCAGGACCACCTGGAGAAGGCTTCAGTTCTGGGAGGGTCTCCTAACATCCAGCTGCCCTCCGCCCCCGGTCACCGCACCCCTCTGCCCAGTCCCTCTTCCTCGAGATAGCCCTACAGATGCTGGGAGACTCTGAGGGCCCTCCTCTCATCTATAGGAACAGCCTCTCCCTTCCCTTCAACAAATTCTCATGAGACACGGACCCGAGTCCCTTCATCCTCCTGGCTGCTCTCCTCTGAACTTACACTCAGGGCTTGTCTCCCAAGCTTGTTAGAATTGTTTGAAGAATAAGGGTAAATAAGTGGTGAGTGAGAGCCTGGTAGGCTTAGCCATGAGGAAACTTTGGTCCCTGGTTCTCTACCAGATATTTGCCTGCTCAGAAATATTTCTGGTGAACGTCCCGGCTCTGGGCAACCCTGCAGAAGAAGCCACATGGCCCTGGGCACCAGGGAGGTGACTGTGGCTGCGCCCCTTCTTTGTATTTGCACAAACACATACCACACACATGCTTACACACGAGCACACATGCACACATTCTCATACAATGCACACCCATGCACACACACATACACTGCACTCCTGCATGCATGCATACACCATACTCACACATACATGAGTACATGTGCATGCATGCAGACATGCACACACACATGCATGCATACATACCCTCTTCTAGCTTGAGGCTTCACAAAGTACCTGCCCAGCGCGAGCTGTGGGCTTGTGTCATGTAAAGGGGCCTTTGCCTCCTGGCCCAGGATCCCACTGGGGAGCCTCATTTCACATCCTGGAGGAGTGGTGAGAGGCCACATGTGAGGAGGTCCCCAGCAAGTAGGACCAGGATCTGCACCAGGGTCTGCACTAGGGTCTGCACCAGGGTCTGCAGGGTCCCCATGCCCAGAGAGCGTCTTGGGAGTTCGGATCTCAAGCTGGAAGGGGCCTCAAAGGCCTAGTCCAGCCCCAACATTTTACAGATGAAGAAACTGAGGCATTGAGCAGTTAGATGGCCTGTTCAAGGTCACAATGGCAAAGCTGAAGTTTGGGCCCTCACCACTGCCCCACATCTCCCCAACCATACAGATCATGCCCAAATAATCCAGATGAAAGCCCTCTTCAGCCTTTGTCTATGTCCTACCTCTAAAGTACTGGGAGCCTGGCTTCCTTGTGGGGCTAGGGGGATAGCTAGACCACAGCTAAAGGGGTCTAGACACTCTCCCCCGTGGGGGCTGCTCTTTAGTCTGGGTGCCCGCCCTTGGCCCAGCCCCAGGGTCCTGCTCTCTGGGGCAGCTTAGGACAGGAGATGAGTATCGGCCTGGAAAAGTGGGTCTTAGTGGGACACAGTAGGAGCATGAAGGGAAAAGTGGGGTAGGGCAGGCCAGGGAACATCTGAGCCCAGCCCCCACCTCTACCCACAATGGTACCTTTGGTCTAGATTCTGGGCAGGTGGGGACACAGGCACAGAGGCCCCATTGTCTGGGCAGTACCCGCTTCTCAGGGTTTCTGATTGCTTCTGGCTTTAAGGGATTTCACCTGACTGAGGGAGGTGACTAAGGGAGCCAACAACCCAAGCAGATTGAGGCTGTGTTCTGGTTGCCAGGAGGACCCTGCCCAGCTGGGTGATGGGGGTGCCCAGGCAGCCTACCCTTCAGGGAAGGCCAGGGACAGGGAAACCCTGCCCTAGGGACCTTTAGGGGGCTGGGCCCCCAGCCTGGCTCCCCTTCTCACCTTCAGGGCTGCCCCACCCCGACCTGCCTGCTGCCTAACTCTGGGGTCCACAGTGAACCCAGGGGCTGTGAGTGCATGGCTGGGGCCTAGCACCTTCCCTGCAGACCAGAGGAAAGCAGCCTGGGAATGACACATTTGTTCTCAGGGTCAGTCACCAACTCTCCATTTCCTCAGCTGTAAAATGGTGATGATAATACCTACAGCCCCAGTGGGTAGTCGACAGGGAAGCAGCGTGTGAACCTTCACGTGCCCTAGAAGTTGTAGCTGGCATTGTTAAGGGTCCAGCCCAGGAGACCTTTGCCAATGATGCCCACCTATTGGCTGCTTCAGGGTTTCCAAATCACCTTCTGAGGGGCAGTGACGGGGCGCTGCAGTGGATAGAACACCAGCCCTGTAGTCAGCAGAGCCTGAGTTCAAATCCGACTTCAGACACTTACTAGCTGTGTGACCCTAGGCAAGTCACTTAACCCCAATTGCCTCAGAAAAGAAAAAGAAAACACCTTCTGAGTACAATACTGCCATGAAGGGCATGTGAGTCCTATCACATCTATTCTGCAGACAAAGAAACTGAGGCCCAGAGAAAAGTGACTTCACCAAGGTCACACAGAGGAAAGTATCAGTGGCAAATCCAGCATCTTGTTCAGCTCGGCACAGCTGATCTGAGGGAGGCCACCTGCCCCTTGGCCGGCCTGGGCTGTCTGCAGAGGGCAGAGTTGGGGTCCTTGGGAAGGGCCCACCCTGGCCCTGGAGCCCCTAGGACACAAACCCCGAGGAGGGAGTGAGGCTCACTGTGAGGTCAGCTTTGTCTACAAGGGGGAATGGTTTGGGGCTTGGGGCTTTTCTGGGGAGCATCCCAGACAGCCATGGCACTGCAATGGGTATGAGAGGTGGCAGGGGTCAGCGTGTCTAGCCCCCTGCCAGCTGCCAAGTGGGTTTCGGCCAGGGACTCTCCTTCCCCCTGCCTTCCGCCTCCTGTGGAGGCCTGGCCCCTGGCTCTGCTGAGTGGGCTGGGACTCACCTGAAGGAAAACCAGAAAGGATCTTGATGAAAAAGACAGACCCGACTCCGGGCAGGGCCAGCAGGCGGGCAATTTCCTTCAAATCAAACACGCTGGCTGCTGGGGGTGTGCCTGGGGAGACAACAGAAGGGGGTGAGCCCCTGTTAGTACCCACAGTGGAGGAGACTAAGGCCCAGAGAGGGAAGCCCCCATCTATCTGCCCAAGGCTATGCTGGAAGTGAGACTCAGGTCAGGGACTGGAACCCAGGACCTCGCAAAAACAGATGCGATGCCATTGAAACCTTGTCTGAGCACCAGGCAGACCTTGCTAGCAGTCCAGCCCAGACAAAGCCCGCCTGGCAGGAAAGTCAGGACTCAAGGATATTTTTAAAGCATGTTTTACCTTCAAGTCCACTGAATGAGAGAAGAGTGAGCTATCACGGACAGAGAAATGCCCAAGCCTCTTCCACTACCTGCCTGGCTGGCTTTGGGCATGTCACAGAGCCACCCTGACCCTCAGTCTCCTCCTCCATAGAACCAAGGGGACTGGAAGAGATCTCCAACATCCCTTCTATCTCAGTGGATAGAGCACCGGCCCTGAAATCAGGAGGACCTGAGTTCAAATCTGGCCTCAGACTAAACACTTGACACTTACTAGCTGTGTGACCCTGGGCAAGTCACTTGACCCCAATTGCCTAAATAAAAAAACAGTCTTTTCTATCTCTAAGATCATAGGGCTTTCTAGGCCCTTTTAGGTCCTACTTCAATGAATAGTTGGACCTCAGTTTTCTCATCTATGAAATGGGTATAAGAATAGCACCTCCCTCCCAGAGTTGTTAAATGATAATATATGTAAAGTGTTTTGCAAGCCTTAAGGTAGCAGCTGCTGCTGCTACTACTAAGAACAGTTTGCAATTGGCATATCAAACTCCATTCCACTCAGATAAACAAAGGTGTTTCAGGCTCAGCAGAAAAAGCAGGGGGACCTAGGGTCAGAGGACCTGAGTTTGAATTCTGGTGGAGAGCTTTCAACCAGGGGAGGGACTGGGCCCCTGAGAGCGGCTGGATGTAACAACATTCCTGCTAAGTATGACTGTTTCTACCTGCTTATACCCCAGCATCTCCTAAGTTGTGGCACTGTGGGACAAAGCCCTGATCTCTTCACCTTAGTTATAACTCTAACACAAATTCAGGCCCAGCCCAGAGTTTGTCAGACACCCAGTCTAGAGGTCATCTGTGACCAAGGCACTGAGGGACTCCTGAAGGGGGGGATGTCAGCCTAATTCTGGTTTTTTGTTTTGTTTTTTGCTAGGCAAAGGGGTTAAGTGACTTGCCCAGGGTCACACAGTTAGTAAGTGTCATGAGGCCGGATTTGAACTCAGGTCCTCCTGACCCCAGGGCCAGTGCTCTATCTGCTGTGCCACCTCACTGCCCCACCTCACTGCCCCAGTGAGCGAAATTCTGATGGGCGCTTTGGTGGGGGGAGGGCTGGTCTATGAATGAAGAGGAATGTTCCTGCAGGGTGGGTCAGGCAGTGACAGAAGTCAGGCAGAGAGAAGCCAGCCAGGCCTGGGAAACAACACACACACACACACACACACACACACACACACACACACACACACACTCTAACGGCATCTATGTGCTCACAGACAACAGTTCCAGAGAAGGACTCATCGGTGCCATCGTGAAGCAGGTCCAGGTAGATCTGAGAACCCAGCAGGGCCGTAGCCAAGGATTCCCAGAGTCAGCCCTCTGGTTTGTGTGCCTGGACATGTGTGCCTGTCTGTGGTGGATGGGAAATGTCTGATCAAAAGTATGTTTAAAGATCACCCACCATACTCTCAAGTGGCTGCAGCTTCCCCCTTCCTGCCTAGCCTGTGCTGTGTTGCATAGAACCCCCTTCTATAGAAGGCACAAGAGCTCTAGAGCGCTCAGAGCTGACTGGAATCCAGCCCCGTCTCTTAGCTGAAGAGTGAAACGACACCCCAGAGGCACCAGGGGTTTGCCCAAGCCCAGGCGGGCAGTCAGTGGGCAGAGGTCCTCGGCTTCAAAACCCACCTGCTTGCTCCAGCAGCAGGGGGCTAAATTTTTGGGGTGAGTTCTGGCCTCCAAATTGCCAACTGGAGACTGAAATAAACAAGCAGGAAAGGCTCAAACACAACCCAAAAGCCCAAGTTATTCACAAGCCAAAGTGGAGCATATTTGACACCTACCCCCCAACAGAAGACTGGGTGGGGCTCCAGTCTGGTCTCTTCTCTCGTGGACTTTTTGAAGGTCAGTTTGAGCCTTGCCCTGACCCTGGAGGCCTCTCCCTGGCTCTGTGGCACTGCTGTCTGCCTTAGACTAGAAGCAGCTGGAGGGCAGGGATTCTCTCTCTACACTCACACACACACACCACACACACACACACACACACACACACACACACACACACACCCCACACTCACTCTCTACAGCCCCTGGCCTTGGGCTGTGCCAGGCTCTGGCAGATTGAGGTGGGAGCAATGTCTCTCTTTCCCCAAAGCCCAGGAAATCAAAAAGGGGGCTCACTTTGTTCCTGGGGAAACTGAGGCTCAGGTTCACCCTTCTTCAGGCCCCTGACCCCCATGCTTACCTGATGGGGCTCTCTCAGCTTCAGAGGTGGCCTTGGTGTTTGCGGGGATGCACGTGAGGCTGACCAGGGTGCAGATGGCGTTGGCCAAGAAGGCGACATAGGCAGGGGAGTAAATGCTGGGAAGGGAAAAATGTCATGTGTCATAGTCCTGGGATTGATCAGCTTCCCTCCCCCTCTCCCCCAATCATCCCGCCAATACTGCCTGAAGTCCAGAGGCCTGGGTGTGAGTCTGCTCTTTACTGTCCATGTGAGGGTCCTCTCAATTTCAGGAGCTCTAAGTACCCACTAGTGTTAGTGTCCCCTCTTCTGTGGGGGGTTCGGCACTAGATAAGCAAAGACTCTACAGAATGTCAGTTCCCTGAGGGCAGGGACTGGTCCACTTTGTCTCTATATCCTCTGTGCCAAGCACAGAGTGTTTCTTTAATAAATGCGTGTTGATTGTTAAAAGGCGAAAGTGAAATCATCTCTGCCCTCTAAAGGTTAACATTCACCTGAGGGTGGGGGAGGGGAGGCCAACAGGTCCACAGACCAGGAAATACAACATGTGTGCAGAATTTGTATGAAATTATTTGTGGGAGTGGGAGCAAGTCTAATGACTAGAGAAATCAGGGAAGTCTTCTCCTAGGAAGAGATTACAAGGCCTTCTGGGTTTCAGCAGGGGGGGGGGGGTGAGGTGAATGGAATAAGCATTTAGAGTACCTACGATGTGCTAAGTGCTATACAGATATTTTCTGATTTGATTCTCACAACAGCCCTTCAGGGAGGTGCCATGGGAGGGAGGTGCTGTTATAGTCCTCATTTATAGTTGAGGAAACTGAGAAAAACAGAGGTGAGGTGACTTGCCCAGGGTTATTCAGCTAGTAACTCTATGACCCTGGAAAGATGCCTGAGTGTGTGTGTGTGTGTGTGTGTGTGTGTGTGTGTGTGTGTGTGTGTGCATACACAAGACAGAAAGGAGAAGAGAATATCTCAAGGCTTCAATCCAGGCACAAGAAGAGGCACATCCACCCTCTTCTGCCTTCCCTCTCCCCTCTCTCTCCCCCTTCCTCCTCCTCTCTTTCCCTTCCTCCTCCCTTCTCTCCTCTCTCCCTTCTCTCCCTCCTCCCCTCCCTCTTCCCCTCTCCTCTCTCTCCCCCCTCCCCCATCAAGACAGGCCAGCCTACTGCTTCCTTTTGGCTGAATCACAGCTCCCTGAGTGGCGTTGCTGAGGATGCACAATCTTTGGCCCGTGACCCACTCCTCCTTGGAAGCCTGGCCCACAAAGGCCCCATTCAGCCTGTTGGATTCCTCCAAGGATGCTCCCCCATGGGCCTTCGGCCCCTGGGTGATGACATTGGAGGGGGGTGTCAGAGGGAGGGATGCTGGAAGCTAAGCCAAGCCTGGTCAGAAGGCAGAGGGCTTAATGTTGCCTCTGCTCCATCTCCTCCCCCACCCCTACTGTGGACAAGTCACTTAGCCCTGCTGGGCCTCAGTTTACCCCTCAAGAAAAGGAAATGGTTGGATTCTGGCATCCAAGGTCCCTCCGGCTACATGTGCTCTGCTCCTCTTTTGAACCTCAGTCTATAAAATCTACAAAATGTGGGGTTTGAACTCATTGTCATAGAACCGAGATCCAAATGCTGCTTATTAGCTGGGGAAGGCCAGGCAAGCTCCTCCCTCCCCCCACTCCTGCCAGGCCTCAGTCTCCTCATTTGTAAAATGAGGGGGTGGACCAAGATAGCCCTCAAGGTCTCTTCCAGCCACCCCCTGCCCTCCGAACCCTCATTGGAGCAAGCTTCCCTCAGTCCTGGGGCCTCCCTCCAACCCCCTAAATGTACTGGAAGAAGCCTTAGAATTGGCCCAGCTCAGCCCCGGCATAGTGCAGAGAGTCCCAGAGACGGTGGGAGAGCCACTTAGGGGCCAAGGCAGGATTCACACTCAGGTCTTCAGACTTTTCCCAGCAAACCTTCCAGGGCCCTTAGGAGGGCCTGGACTGCAGGATAAGACCATACCAGCTCCCTAGCCACAACCAGAGGCTTTCCTAGGGTTAGAGAGATGAGGAAACTGAGGCCCAGGATGGGGGAGGGCAGGTGCCATTGGCTTTCTTCAGCTGGTGTGGGGGGTGTTGGGCGGTGGAGGGAGGGTCAGAGGACAGGAGAATCATAGGTGGACAGAGCCCATTTTATTTGCCAGACCACCAGTCCAGAGCTGAGCGGTGGGGTCAGAGGCTCCAGACACCGGGATCGCCTGGGCTGGCCCGGGCTTGGGAGGGCAAAGATCCATGAGATGTAGTCGGCCCCTCTCTCCCAGTTTCATGATCTGCTGCCCTGGGCCCCAGGGAGTGTCAAGGGGGGAGGGGAGAAGCAGACCGAGGCTAGACAACCTTTCTCCTCATTCGAACTGTCTGAATGACAAGCCTGGAGGGCAGTGCCCTCTTCATCACTGTTTCCTCATCTGTAAAATGGGGATTGCAGTACAATCTACCTCTCAGGGTTGTCATGGGGATAAAATCAATATTTGTAAAGTTCTTGGTAAACCTTAAGGTGCTAGATGAATAATTAGATTAGTTATTATGATTATTCAATCAAATGCTGCATTTGAATCCAGCTTCTGACACTTATTACTAGTTGTATGACCCTGGACTAATTGTTTTAACCTCTCTGAGCTTCAGTTTCCTTTTCTGTAAAACAGAGATACCAACAAAAGTTGTGATTTGCACACTTGCAAGAGATCTTATGCGTTGGAAGGTCTGGGTTGGCCTCCGTGGTCTCTGGGGAGGTCACACATCACACACACACACACACACACAACACAACACACACACTCACATACATATACACATACATACACACATACCACACACTCACACACATACATACACACACTCACACACACTCCCCAGAGAAGGGTCCCTTGGGCTAGAAGCTCTTTGCCGGGGGTCTCTTTCTCTCTCTCTGTCCCGCACCTGCCCAATCCGGTCTGGCTAAGGGCTCACCCTGCCCATCTGATGAATGGGCCCATTAAGCCTGGATGTAAAATGCTGTTCTCATTCAGTCTGCCTGGGTCTTCAGGGTAAAGTCCCAATCCGGCCTGTTGAGTGGGTGGACAGACAGGCAGGGAAATTGGGGGAGGGGAGAGTGGCAGGCCAGGAGACCTGAGAAGGCAGTTTTTGTTTATCCCCTCTCCCTCCAATACAGGCCTGGCTGGGTCTCTCCATCAGCCTCCATGGAGGCCTTCCCAGATCTAGGGTGTGTGCCTCATTCTAAGGCCAGGACTTCCCCTAGGTACTCAGTACAGAGGGTGGGGAGTGCTGGGGGGCAGGGTCGGGCCAGATGGGCCCACTCCCCCACATCTCCATGGATGAATGGAATACTTTCGAGCTGCTGGAATGCTCTGACCAGCTGCAGCTTGGGGGGAGGGGGGCAGGCCCGTCCCAGGAAGGGGCGGCCGGAAGCAGCAGATCCAGTACAGATGAGGTTGGGGGCAGCTGCTCCACATTCCTGAGGACCATCGTCACTGGGGGCCCAGCTCCGGAAGTCCTGGCATTTTAGGCTCCCCGGGCCAGGCAGGGGAGGGGGGTGACCCCTGAGGCTCCTCATTCATCCTCCCACGTCTTGCAGAAATCCCTCTGACAGGTGCGCCTATAGAGCAATCTTTGGACCCTTTCAGTGATGGAGAGCTCCCTCCCTCTCCCCCAAAGCAACCGGTCTATTGTGGTCTTAATATTAGGGCTGGAAAGAAACTGAGATAACCTTCAATCTGACCTCCTGATTTTACAGAAATGGAAACTGAGGTCCAGAGAGAGGAAGGTGTCTTCGGAGACCTCAGAGCTGGGAGGCTACCTCCAGACCTAGAGTGCGGGGCCCGAGAGAAACCCCTCTTCATCCCCCTACGTTATGTCCCCTGCCCCCTGGCTTTGCGTCCCCTCCCCCCAGACTTTGTGCCTCCTCGCACCGGACTTCGTGCTCCCTCCCGCCCGGACTTTGTGTCCCCAGGGGTCCCCATTAGGATGGAAGCTGCTCCCTTTGCTCATTTTGGACCCTCAGTTTCTGTCACTGGCTGCTTCCCTCCCATCTACACACATGTCCGAGTCTGCCCCCTCCCCCAAACATCTCACTTGACCCTTCCATTCCAGCTCCCCATCCTCCCATCTGCTGCCCTTTGTGGGAAGCTCTTTAAAGCCCCATCCCCTCTCTCTTTAACCCCTTACAGTCCAGCTTCTGGCCTCATCATTCTGCCCAAGCTGCTCTCTCAGGAGTCACCAATGATCTCTTAGGGGCCCCGACCAGTGGCTTTTTCTGGGTCCTCATTCTGCAGGCCTCTGCAGCCCCTGACGCTGTCGGTCACTCTCTCCTCCCGGATCCTCTCCTCTCTCTAGGTTTTCAGGACCCCTCTCCCTCCTCTCCCCTGGTTCTCCCCCTCCCTCTCTGTCTCCGGCATCCCCCTCCACATCACCCCTTTGGAGTGTGGGTGTCCCTCAGGGCTCTGTCCAGGGCCTCTGCTCTTCTGCCTCTATAATACCTCACTGGGTGAGCTCCCATGGACTTAATGTTCATCGATCTCTATGCTGATGACTCTCTAATCTACCTTTCCTACCCCAGTCTCTCTGCTGACTTCCAGCGTCTCATCTCCAAGTGCTTCTCAGACACCTTGGGCTGGATGCCCAAAAGACATCTGAAACAACATGGCCCAAACAGAACTGTGCCCCCGACTCCTCCCTGTTTCTTACCCTCGTCTCTAACTGTTAGCCAAGACCAGCTGTTTTCCCTCCATGACATCTTCTGAATGCGCCCCCTTCTCTCCTCTGACGCTGACACCAGCACCTCACAACTGGCCTAGTTGAGAGAATGAACCCCCAAATCTGGAAGGGTTTTAGAAAGAAATGTGTTTGGTCCTTTGGCAGAGACAGCCAGGAAGGAGGCTGGCCCCTCCACACGTCCTTGTGAGGCGACGTTCTGTAGAGTTGAGACCAGGACAAGGACAGGGACACACCTGCTTGGCCACATACAGGCAGAAGGTCATCTCCCAAAAAAGGCAGTTGGAGGTGTGGAATTTGGGTGGACCTCTGATGAGCCCTGGGTGGGAGCTCACCTCTCAGAGGCATCTCAAAGTCTACAGAAAGCTTAGCAGCTAGACA